GCCCAAATGTCTGACACAATAAGCTCTCACTCAAGCCATGGATGTTTTAATTACCCATCTGGACGGCATCAGCACCACATGCATCTAAAGACTAAATCATGTTTAGAGTCTTCATGATGAATGCATAAGTGAAGGCATCTTCCTGGAGCTTCTCAAATCTACATCGACACACAACACATGAACAAGCAAAACAAAGAAAATCTACAGTTGTCTGATTCCATTTCAGCAACATTTTCTTTTTAATTTTTAAAAGTGAACAAGATTATAATTTTTTATCATTCCAAAAGGTAGAAGAAAAACATTAATGACTAACAAAAGGTAAAACCATACCATCTGCCACCAAAATAGAAGAGGTAGAACGAGGTCAAGACTCGCGTTATATTCTGGTTCATATTAAAATTATACTCTGAGCAAAAGTATAATTTTAGTATGTTAAGATTAATGTGCATTTAATTTAAATAAAACAAATATCTCCTTATTGTTTCAGTTTGGGTAAACTTTTTAATAACTATTTATAAAAGAATAAAAAGGTAAAATAAATAAATTTGTTATAAATAAAAACTAACTTACATTAACATTTTTAGAAAGTCTCTTATCTAACTTCTCTTCAAAAGATTTCAGTAAGTGCATTTGGTTTTAGAAAATCATTTGTCTCCATTTTCTAACTTATACAAACCTATAAAAATGTTAGCATACTTTTACTTTATTTCCTATATTCAATTTTTTGAATAAGCATATTATGAAATTAGGCTTTTATTGTTTTCTGTTCTTATTTATTCCTACGCAAATAAATTAGAAACGAAGTGAAAATAAGACCGTAATTTTGTAATTAAAAGTAGAAAACATTTTCTCAAACGAAATGGCCTCTCTAGTTCCCAAGTTGGGTTTTTTTGCCTTATATGTATTGTCATCTTTTCCATGTTCTATATCTCTTTCCAAAAAACGTTCATTATAATCTGTCTATCCAAATATCTTCAACCTAATCGCCGTAAGATATCTTATGATAAGAATGCAAAAAAAATTGTTTGTCATGAAAACAATTTGCAATTCAAGACAAAAAATAGCATTGAACAGAAATTTTCACAATCCAAGACAAAAATCTTCTCACACATTTTCTTTCGTTTTAAGAAACGTGACTGGAAAATGTTTAATATCAATGATACTTTATTAATATTATTATTATTATTAGTGTACACAGCCGTTATGTAATGCTGTGTAAGCATTTTTAAATATCTACAAATTATTTAAATTTTATAAATAGTAATTAAAAGACAAAATTGAATATATATATATATAAATAAATTTTAGTTATTGAAACAAAAAATATTATAAATAGTATCGTGTAAATAATTTTTTTATTATAAGTAATTAATTAAATTTGAAAAGTGGTTGATAAAAGAGTAAATAATTATTTTATAATGAGTAATTATTTGAAATTTAACAAAGTAATTAAGAGGATAAAATGAAAAAATAAAAGAGGACACCAAAGAGGTGTATTATCTTTATATATAGTTATAGATTATTATTATTTACTTAAAATTTTTCTTAAATTTAAAGTACAGGTAGAAAAAACCGAGAAATATGAGATTACCTTCCCGACTTAGAAAAATGTCCAGCACCAAGCTCGCATTTAAACAACAGGATGCTATCATCAGTCTTCATATCCCTTAGTTTTGCAACAAACTTCGCAGGTTCAGAATACATAACGCGTGGGTCTACAGCATGCACAAGCGGATGTAAGATGCACATGTCACGCGTAAAACCAAAGATGTCTTTCCAGCCAATTTATCAGTAATCACAAAACAGAAAGAATGATCTGGCTTTAAGTATTTAAGTTAAAAACGAAGAACATTTTAGTGACTTGAGTCAGATATGATTACCATTTAATCCAGCTGTAACAAGAATGTGTGGATAGTTCTGTGACTTCACCTGCGTAAAATGAGAGAGGACTTAGAAAAAAAATATTCCTAAAATTCATATAGTACAAGAGAAAAATTAAAAATTATGCTCGGACTGAAAAAGAATGATAGCCAATGAAACAACAAGGCATCAAGCACAGCCAAAAGGTTCTCACGTTATCAACGGGGGAATATGATTTCATGTAAAAGTAGAATTCCTCCTTTCTAGGATCACCCCATTCCTGCAGTAACACAAGGAAACAATCTCATTTGTGAATAAGAAAAAACAAGAGAAATACCATCATAGAACTATGTGGACTAGCTTGAATAATGAAATTCAAAATATGTTATTACACATGTGAAACAAAGACCCGCACAATTATAATAATCTCGAATAATTTTGATGGCTGTATAATGCCTCTTATTGCATAAGTTTAAACGACAAGTGAATAGTATGACAATTAAAAAAATAACTCCACATTTATAATATGATACATTTTATGAAAATAAGACGAGAAAGAACGCTAAAACAATTTCACTGGTCTAAGGACCCAGTAAAAAAACTAAAACATAAACGGGATCCAAGGCATCACAATACCATGCATAAATCAAATTATGAAAACAGTATTTCTGCAACAAAATTAAAAGGAAGGGCCCAGTTAAACCCACTAAAAAACATGGAAAATGATAGGGTGCACAGCAAGGTTGAACAAGATTAGAGTATACTATGAGAAACAAATTTGTAGAAGCGGTTTTTATAGTGGCTTGGCTAGACAAATTCATGCATTTTAGCAAGGAAACATGTCCCGTTAGCATATTATCATCAATAAGCAAGAATACATTAATTCAATCAACTATCTTGACTCCTACAAATCCTCTTCCAAAACCCAATTCAAAATGTCTTCAAATGTCCATATGGAATGGCAGAATAAGAGAAAAAATTACCTCCCATTCTGAAGTAGTGAGAGGAATGGTTGGATCAAGCATTGTTGTCACAACATCCACAAAAGGTACCCCTGCAACAGCAGCCCTAAATAAATCTGGTCTCATATTAAGAACTGCACCGATTAGCAAACCACCAGCACTTCTTCCTTCAATGCACAGTCTTTCCTTAGAACAGAATTTTTTTTCAACCAAATATTCGGCACATGCAATAAAATCAGTAAAAGTGTTATTTTTCTTCAACAGCTTCCCATTCTCGTACCACTGCCTCCCCATTTCCCCACCTCCACGTATATGAGCTATGGCATATACAAAACCCCGATCTAACAATGAAAGCCTTGTTGATTTGAAACTGGGGTCTATGCATATCTGTTGACAATTTGAGGTCACTAAATTATAAATTCTAGAAGAAACAGAAGGAGAAATGTTTAAAGGTGTAAAGACCAGATTCCTAAACGGAAAAAATCTGTAACCAAAGGAACAGACAGGCTAACATATGGTGCCCACCGTCCATATATAGAAGAGCAAACATTGAAGTAAACAAATAACTATCTTTACTAGTTGAATCAATAATCACATAAAGCAATCAGAAGGGATGTTGTATTTAAATGATATAATACAAAGATAGGACTATATCTTATTTCTAATAAGAGAAAAATGTGAGTGTTTAGCAGCAAATTTTTTAAAAAAGTACATCCCTTTTACTTTCAAGTGGCAAGCATTAAAGAATGATGGAAAACAGCAGCTAGCAACTTTCATCCATTATCCCATAAAAAATCAAAGGATAGAATTCATAATTGGTATTGTTGTATGCAATTCAATCTATCTAAACTTATATGTTTTTACCTCATACGATCCATATCCATAAAGTAGTAATGGATCTGATCCATCAAGCTTCACAGCATCTTTACGGTAAACAATAGAAATGGGAATCAAAGTTCCATCCAAAGCAGGTGCCCACTGCCTTTCGGTGACATAATGTGCTGAATCAAAACCTCCTAGAACCTGAGTAAAATAGAACCATACAGAATAATTAAACCACCCCAAAGAAAAAAGAAGAAAACATAATAACAATAACAATGACGATAAAATAAAGAGGCATTATTTCCATAACTATTTCCATTATTACCATACACCTTTTCAAGCCTAGATAAGTTGGAATTTATAATAGTTCACAAATTCCGAATACCTTGAATATTGCCTCAGAACCCTTTGAAATATTATGCATCTATATGATCCTTGAAATTGGTATCACAGGTCAATTTGGTAACTTAAACTTAACCAAATCAATCAGTTCAGTTCCCAAAAAACAACCCTTATTTTTATGGTCCTTGAGGGCAACGATAGAATTATGATTTGATGATCGGTCATGTAAACAACCTCTTTGCACTATGTTTTAAATCCCAGAAAATGGAATGTTGCTGAGAGCTCCAAAATAACTATAGCAAGATTGCTTATAGCGGCTGACTTGCTATTTTTGAAATTCTTTTATAATTCATATAATAAGTATACTATATACCTTTAAACTATATAAAATGATAAAATTACTAGTTTATAACATTCATAATTAACAATAAAAGGTCATTAGTGTCTTGAATCAGGAAAAAATACAAGTCAATATATACCACAAAATTAATAACATCCATAATTAACAGAAAAAAGCCATTACTAGTGGGATTTTATCAGTCATAATCTTCTATCACATCCACATATTCCAATTTTGAAAATTAAAATCCCAAAAATTTCCCTCCAAAAAATCCCGGATGTTTTTGAATCAACACACAGTGCCACTATTCAGCTCAGTGTGTGGTCCGCTACAGCAGCCCTTGTAGCAGGAAGGGTTTAATCTAGACCACTACCTGCTACAGTAGCGCTATAGTGCTATTGAAAATCCTACAAGGCCGCATACGACATCCCTTTCTCATACCTTCACATTGCAAGGAGCCTTCTGGCATTGTGGTACATTACGTTCTTTTTTTTTTTCGGTCCTTACTTGACAGCCATCAATCAATTTGGTCCTTAACATTGTGGAAGGACCAAATTGACTGACAAATACCAATTTAAGCACTGAAATGACTGATAGTAGCCAATTTTAAGGACTAGAATTTATTTTTGTAATTTTAGGGACTAGAATATTTTTTTATTTTTAGGGAGTAATTTGATGAAATGACTGATAGTAGCCAATTTTAAGGACTAGAATTTATTTTCGTAATTTTAGGGACTAGAATATTTTTTATTTTTAGGGAGTAATTTGATGTATTTCTCCAAATATGGCTAAGTCGACCTGTCCCTCGTCACAGTTTTACCAAAGAGACAACTTATGTCAAAAGTCAAATTTTAGCATTTCATATGCTGTCTTTCGAAATCCATCAAACATCAGTAAATTCCTTGAGAAAAAACCAGCACACAATAACAACTCAAATATGAAATGAAGAAATCATTAAAAAATTATGAATGCCAATCAGAATAACAAAGCCAAGGTAAGCATGGGTATGCATAACATCTCAAAAGGTCAAAATTATGATATACCAGAAAGAAGCACTTTAACAACGGGGAATACAAAAACTTGCATAGAACAAATAAGTCTATATGACAAACTGTTAAGACTGAAAAAAGGGCAGATGCAAAACGGAAAAATTTAAGTTTACCAGCCCATTTAACTTACCGAGTTAATCTTCTTCAAAACAGAAGTGCCTGTCTTCATATCATAATCATATACAGAGGAAGGAGTCCTCAATGAGCTATACGAAAACCTTAAAATACTTGATGAAAACTCTGAATCCGAAGAATACACTGAATATACAGGATCAACAAAACTAACTGCTTGGCCGCTTTCAAGGCTTCTTAGTGGTTCACCAAGTGGGGGAAGGTGATAAACGATTATTTTTTGTAGACCATTTTCTCTCTCATATGCTACTAGATGATCACTAAAAAGTTGTATCTCCTGAATTTTAACACTAAAAAAAATTCAATGTTAGATTTGGTTAGAGAGAAAGACACAAGCTCCATGAATTTTTATTGTTTCTCATTCATGCTAATGATTTTGGATGTTGAGATGATAAGGATCGTCATATAAATATAATGTGGCAGAAAATCAGTTCACCATAAACTGTACTGGAATATAATACCACCAGCCAAGGAACAGCTGACCAAAGTTGAGTTTGAAAGTTAACAACCCAAAACAGTTTTTGAATTATCAAGAACAATTTAATGGAACAACAACAAAAGTGACAAAGAAAAGAAAGTTGCATAAGCAGCAAACGATTACTTACAAAGCATCTTAGAAAATAGCCTTCTATTAGAATGCCGGCTTAACTGACACATACTAATACATGGCTTTTAAAAGGGGAATATTATATCTAGTACAAGAACAATTCATCTTTTTCTAGTAACTAAAGCAGAAAGTAGGAAATTAGCAATAAATGACCGCATTGTTCAGAAAGATTTTTACTCTTAATTAATGTGTAATTTTTATATCTGAATGAACTACCCAGTGGTCCATACACATTCATAAAATAAGTCGCTATATAATTTATCAAGGTTACGGCCAGAGTGCACAAAGCAACTGAGCAGCAATGATACATAGATTGTTTTACCTTTCGTTGTGAGGAATAAGAACTGTAGTTGAAGAGGTGTCATTGACAGCACAAGCTACAACCTCCGAATTGAAAAACTGATCACTTCTCCTTTTAATAAAAAAATGATCTCCACGATGGCTGACAGTTGTGTCAATACCCTCAACACGAGGTGTCAAAACTTTAAGACCCTCTTCAGGCTTAGAAACATCCATATAAAAATTGAACCTTGTATTTTTGCTCTCTGAAGCAACAAACAAATATCTCTCGCTTTCAGAAGCTTCAAGATCGAGAGAAAACATATCGTCCTTTTCCTGGTAAAGAAGTGTATCCTTTGACTGTTCTGTTCNAGAAAAAAGAAGAAAACATAATAACAATAACAATGACGATAAAATAAAGAGGCATTATTTCCATAACTATTTCCATTATTACCATACACCTTTTCAAGCCTAGATAAGTTGGAATTTATAATAGTTCACAAATTCCGAATACCGTGAATATTGCCTCAGAACCCTTTGAAATATTATGCATCTATATGATCCTTGAAATTGGTATCACAGGTCAATTTGGTAACTTAAACTTAACCAAATCAATCAGTTCAGTTCCCAAAAAACAACCCTTATTTTTATGGTCCTTGAGGGCAACAATAGAATTATGATTTGATGATCGGTCATGTAAACAACCTCTTTGCACTATGTTTTAAATCCCAGAAAATGGAATGTTGCTGAGAGCTCCAAAATAACTATAGCAAGATTGCTTATAGCGGCTGACTTGCTATTTTTGAAATTCTTTTATAATTCATATAATAAGTATACTATATACCTTTAAACTATATAAAATGATAAAATTACTAGTTTATAACATTCATAATTAACAATAAAAGGTCATTAGTGTCTTGAATCAGGAAAAAATACAAGTCAATATATACCACAAAATTAATAACATCCATAATTAACAGAAAAAAGCCATTACTAGTGGGATTTTATCAGTCATAATCTTCTATCACATCCACATATTCCAATTTTGAAAATTAAAATCCCAAAAATTTCCCTCCAAAAAATCCCGGATGTTTTTGAATCAACACACAGTGCCACTATTCAGCTCAGTGTGTGGTCCGCTACAGCAGCCCTTGTAGCAGGAAGGGTTTAATCTAGACCACTACCTGCTACAGTAGCGCTATAGTGCTATTGAAAATCCTACAAGGCCGCATACGACATCCCTTTCTCATACCTTCACATTGCAAGGAGCCTTCTGGCATTGTGGTACATTACGTTCTTTTTTTTTTCGGTCCTTACTTGACAGCCATCAATCAATTTGGTCCTTAACATTGTGGAAGGACCAAATTGACTGACAAATACCAATTTAAGCACTGAAATGACTGATAGTAGCCAATTTTAAGGACTAGAATTTATTTTTGTAATTTTAGGGACTAGAATATTTTTTTATTTTTAGGGAGTAATTTGATGAAATGACTGATAGTAGCCAATTTTAAGGACTAGAATTTATTTTCGTAATTTTAGGGACTAGAATATTTTTTATTTTTAGGGAGTAATTTGATGTATTTCTCCAAATATGGCTAAGTCGACCTGTCCCTCGTCACAGTTTTACCAAAGAGACAACTTATGTCAAAAGTCAAATTTTAGCATTTCATATGCTGTCTTTCGAAATCCATCAAACATCAGTAAATTCCTTGAGAAAAAACCAGCACACAATAACAACTCAAATATGAAATGAAGAAATCATTAAAAAATTATGAATGCCAATCAGAATAACAAAGCCAAGGTAAGCATGGGTATGCATAACATCTCAAAAGGTCAAAATTATGATATACCAGAAAGAAGCACTTTAACAACGGGGAATACAAAAACTTGCATAGAACAAATAAGTCTATATGACAAACTGTTAAGACTGAAAAAAGGGCAGATGCAAAACGGAAAAATTTAAGTTTACCAGCCCATTTAACTTACCGAGTTAATCTTCTTCAAAACAGAAGTGCCTGTCTTCATATCATAATCATATACAGAGGAAGGAGTCCTCAATGAGCTATACGAAAACCTTAAAATACTTGATGAAAACTCTGAATCCGAAGAATACACTGAATATACAGGATCAACAAAACTAACTGCTTGGCCGCTTTCAAGGCTTCTTAGTGGTTCACCAAGTGGGGGAAGGTGATAAACGATTATTTTTTGTAGACCATTTTCTCTCTCATATGCTACTAGATGATCACTAAAAAGTTGTATCTCCTGAATTTTAACACTAAAAAAAATTCAATGTAAGATTTGGTTAGAGAGAAAGACACAAGCTCCATGAATTTTTATTGTTTCTCATTCATGCTAATGATTTTGGATGTTGAGATGATAAGGATCGTCATATAAATATAATGTGGCAGAAAATCAGTTCACCATAAACTGTACTGGAATATAATACCACCAGCCAAGGAACAGCTGACCAAAGTTGAGTTTGAAAGTTAACAACCCAAAACAGTTTTTGAATTATCAAGAACAATTTAATGGAACAACAACAAAAGTGACAAAGAAAAGAAAGTTGCATAAGCAGCAAACGATTACTTACAAAGCATCTTAGAAAATAGCCTTCTATTAGAATGCCGGCTTAACTGACACATACTAATACATGGCTTTTAAAAGGGGAATATTATATCTAGTACAAGAACAATTCATCTTTTTCTAGTAACTAAAGCAGAAAGTAGGAAATTAGCAATAAATGACCGCATTGTTCAGAAAGATTTTTACTCTTAATTAATGTGTAATTTTTATATCTGAATGAACTACCCAGTGGTCCATACACATTCATAAAATAAGTCGCTATATAATTTATCAAGGTTACGGCCAGAGTGCACAAAGCAACTGAGCAGCAATGATACATAGATTGTTTTACCTTTCGTTGTGAGGAATAAGAACTGTAGTTGAAGAGGTGTCATTGACAGCACAAGCTACAACCTCCGAATTGAAAAACTGATCACTTCTCCTTTTAATAAAAAAATGATCTCCACGATGGCTGACAGTTGTGTCAATACCCTCAACACGAGGTGTCAAAACTTTAAGACCCTCTTCAGGCTTAGAAACATCCATATAAAAATTGAACCTTGTATTTTTGCTCTCTGAAGCAACAAACAAATATCTCTCGCTTTCAGAAGCTTCAAGATCGAGAGAAAACATATCGTCCTTTTCCTGGTAAAGAAGTGTATCCTTTGACTGTTCTGTTCCCAGCACATGAAACCATACCTGTATTTACTTAAGATGTTAGCGGAGAAAGTAGACAACTAACAAGTGCAAGGATTTAGAAATGAGACCACCGAAAGGGAATTCTTTTTATGGAAAAAAATAAACATTGTGAACATATCTAAATACCAGATTGGAGCAAGGCTTGGACCTGCTTGTTTCATATTTGGAAAAAAGAAACTGTGATAGAGTCTTTCCTCCAGATTATGAGTTTTTAGCTCTTTTTAATAAACAAGCCTAATTATTATAACTATTATTTTCAAATTAAAAAGAAAACATTTTCCCCTTAATAAGCAAAAACTGAACCCTAATCAATCAGAACTAAGTGTCTGGCTACGAATTAGGCAGAAAACATTCAGTACCACTGCCACATCGAACCACATCATCACACAGTAAATCACAAATCACATATTCCTGTTTTCAGCATTTTTATCAGGCTAAACTTCAAGTTAACTTTGGCCAATTTCACTCCTAATCAGTTTGGGATTTACAATGCCCATCAAACGGGTCTAGAGTTGGACATGCAAGAATTTAGCTGAGTTGAATTTAAGATGGAAATAGAGGCTCCAATTATAGTAGTTGGTAAGATGAAGGATTGTTCAACAACTAAAGGTACGGGTAGACCAAGAAAGACCAAGTAAGATCATTAATAAGTGATCTTGAATGAAATGGTGATTTTGGAAAGAACACAATGGTATGGTTTGATTTATTTAACTGGCCCCGTCTAGTAGGAGAAAAGTTTTGGTTGCTGTTGCTGCTATTGTTGAAAAACGAAATATTATTAGAACTGAATGGGACAACAATACTGATTCCAGAGGAGTACGGCCCACCTTGTCAGGTCTGAGAATCTCATCCATTGTGACGTAAACTAAAGCATCATTGCCAGCCCATTCAAGGTATCCTGTTACACCAACAAGAGGATCTCCAATAGTAGCTCGAGTCTCAGCATCAATGACATATACTTTATATATTTCATCTCCTTTGGTATCTTCTGCATATGCTACCAACTTGCTATTTGGGCTAACCTGAAAATAAACGTAGCTTAAAATAAAATAAAAGCAGTTGGAAGTTGGGAAACAAGACAGATGAAAGTGAATAAAATACTATGATCTAACCTTAAAGGTACCAATGCTGTAGTACTTGTGATGTTGTGCTTTGACATTCTCATCCAAAATAACATGCTCATGAGGAGCTTCAGGTCCTGTGGGCATGATGTCATGCACAGATGGCACCTTTTGGCTATCAGATATAAGGCGCCTACAATGTTGAACATATTCTTGCCCTTCCAAAGTTCTATCATAATAGTAATAAGGCCCTTTGCGTAAAGGAGCAGAGATATCATCCTCCTTAATCCTTCCTCTTATCTCAGCAAAAAGCTTATCTTCAAATTCCTTAGTTCCTAGAAATTTAAAGAAAACGAGGATAACTTTCTCTGCTAATCAAAATAAATTTCCTTTAAAAGTGAGTGTGCATGGCGGTGAAGAGGTTAGATACAGCAAAGGAATTCCTAAGTCCGCACCACACAGTCCTAGAGCCTTTTACCCATTTATATTTGCTCAGTTTATCGATGAATCATTTCTATATATTGCGAAACAGAAGACTGACTTGTAAAGTCATAAGAGAAATTCTTGTAACACTTTGAAACACAATCTTTTGAATACAGTATGCTATGAGTCAAAACTTATTAAAAATCTCAGAATTTTGGGGATCATACTTTTTATTTAATGATTGTCATGATTTTGTAGTTTTCAATAATTTTTTATTAACACGAGTGCGTTAATAGCACTCCTCAAGTTACACCGGAACCAACCCATCAATCAACCTCCAGCTTGGCAATAAACTTTAGAAAGCATGGATGCATCTGATGGTGGCATGGTTTCTATAGCCATTAGGATCTACTGTTCAGGAGGCGTTTTGTCTTGTGCACAGTTGAATTTAAGAAAAAATATATATACAAATTGACTACAAACTTATATCAAATTATATCAGTTGTGAATTAATTACTAGCTCGGAATTTTCGTTGTTCGTAGAATAATCACAGGTCAAAGTTGGT